GAAGCGCCCTCTGCAGTTATTGGCTTGCTGGAATCGATTTTGACACTGCTGTTCTTATCATATATCAGGTATTTTCGCACTCTTTCCGAGTTACCAGCTCCATCAAATACAGATAGAAGAATCGAGTATATCCCTATGGAATAAATGATTATATTAGCTTCGCTGGTTGTTGTATGTATGTGTACTGAACCATAGTTATACTATAATGCTATTCAAATCACAGCCCTGTCACAATTAATAAGAAATGTAGACCTGTAATTTTACTTCAAGAGAACATTTGATCAGAAAATGTGCACGAGATGAATCAAAACAAAACGCCTCACACAATTCGATTACATCATATTAAAAAAAAGGATCAACTCATTTTTGGGGTACTTACCCTCTTCTGGCATAGCAAGTATAGCCTGAGATGCGGAGGATGGAAGGTCATACTTTGACGCATGGGCAGTGGAAGAGGTCACATCGAGTTCATCATTATCTGAGTTTGAATTTACTATCAATCGAAATGTAGTTGTAGTGATTGATTCCAGAGGTGCTGTCCCTCCAGTCATTGGGCATCCAAGTTACGGTCACACGATTCTGTGGATAAAAAAGTCAGTCGTAATATGCCATGCTAGAGTATAAGGGGCACATCTACGAATATATTCCATACGTAATTGTTTTAGCAAAACAAAGACAGCATACTATACTTACAAAGCAATGAAGTAAACTATATGATATAGTATATACATACATGTCTTATGTAATGACTTCCAATATCCATGACTGCGGCCAAACATGGCATTTCAGTCGATATACAATGCACTGGTTTGGTAAAATCAAATATAATCTTTGTTTCATTGACTGTATCATGTGAAGAGTAAAGTATGGGAGGTCCAACGGTAACTGAATTCTCATCGTCGTAGTTGTTAAGTTTTATATATCCTGAAATCTTCGAACGTAGTGAAAGGGTTAACCTGTGATAAAGATGATTGGAATCATCATCATCATCATCATCATCATCATCAACATATAATAACAATAATAGAAACAATATAATCTTGGTCATCATAATCATTGTCTAATTTCATAGATGATAACATATTACAAAATCACTATATTGCATAATCTTCCCAAACACCCTAATAGGTCAAATCAAAGATACAGAATGCGGTCATTAAAGATCTTGTTGGTGAATACGTTTCTTTTGATGTGACAAAAGTAATCTACTCGTTCTTTTATGCAAAAATATCAATAGGTTTGTTCAGAACATCACGGTAATTATGTGTAATGACAATAATTATTCACTCATCTATGTCGCATCTTTCAACGAGTAAATAGATGAATGATAAAATAACTCACTCGTCTCCTTCTCGGACGTTGTAAGAAGAGATATCAAAATTATTTATACAGTGTCGAGATGGTAATTTGCTCGCTGGGACATCAATAGCACTGTTCGCAACAAAACAATTATACTGCCCAGTATGAGTTGAACCTGTTTTATAATGAAGACATGAATACATGCAATGACTTATAATAATGAGGAGATGGTTATATGTGAAATATATGGATAATTATAAAGTGATAGATTTATTGATTTATAAAAATATGTATTTCAACCATAGAAACACCTCTGTCACTTACATAAGAGCATATTATTAACACAATGTCCAGGTTATATTACCGATATTTATGTCTATCTGGACCAGAAATAACTTAAAATATACTTAAAATCCAAAGAACGAGACAGTTTTATTCAGTATATTGTGATACCTATCCAATAGGCTGTCAAGACTACTGATCTATTTTCGAGCAGATTTGTTATTTACCGTATACATGGACGGTGTACGGAAGTGACATTATTTAGTTGACCCTCACTGAAATTTATAGATTTACTGTAATTGTAAACGTTAATATTCCGCGTCAATGACTTTATTCTGAGACACAATTTATAAAATTGTGATTTTGTCATTTCATAAAGTATTTTTTTGGTCGACTGTCACAGAAAGTTATATTGTGACGCGGATGTGTTTGCACGAGAGGTTATATTGCCATGTAGGATGTGTTCATGGAAGGTTATATTGTGACTTGTAAAATTGGAACATATACTAATGGGTGCAGATAAATTGTGACGTACCGCTCTTTAGAGTCCATTCTATAGTAGCTTCTATAATTCCAAAAACAGCTTCGTTTACGTAATACGGTGGGGGTGGTAGATCGCTCGGGGTGAAACCGACCGTCAAATCTACTGTGAACTCTTCTGCTTTCAATCTGCAGTAAACTACGTTTTGTTCATCACAGATCACTTCTTGTGGTGCATAGTCTGGTCGTTGAAATGTCACTGTACAACTTTCAACTGTTGCTGGTTCATCAACTGCAAACAATCGTTAACAATTTAAAAATAGAAACTCGTTAAATTAATTTATAATAACAATTGAAGCCAATGCAAACAATGTTTGTCTCCATAGTTTCAGTTAAACAATCCAATTCTTTTTTTCTAGATCACATAATAAATATGTTGTCAATACACTGTTCTGTTAATGTGCGCCCTCTAGCGACCAAGATTTGGAGTGGAGTAGATGCCTGTAAAATACGTCTTTCACAACGCTCATACAATGTGAAAACGACAAATTAGAATATTTTGTTAAATGATGTGAGATGTTGTCGTTCACATATCTCTCACTATTAACAATTATTACAATGTAAATTTCAAATGACAAAATAGCCAAAAATTGCTTCCACTGGACTGGTATTTGTTATCTCCAGTATTTGAGAGGGTGGTTGTATGTAAACGAAGAATGACTACACACACAGACAATATAATTTAAAGTCAATGCTATGTGACAGAAGGATTAATTCGTCAATGATAATTGGTAAAACATAATAAATTGGTGAATATAAATGAAATAACTTACTATGTTGACAGTTACCTCCCTAAAGTGATAATGAACAATAATATTGTTTGATTAAACGTGTCAACGTTCGGCCTAAATTAACTAAATTAATTTATTTTCAAAAATGAAAACATTGTATCGATATTTTGAATAACTGAATCCCATCGACTGGCAAGTTTGTTGCAATTTTAGAATCGCGGGATTAGTGTCAGACGTGGTTTCGATCTGATGTACAGCGCCATTTATGCAGGATGTAGTCCATGCACGATGGAAATAGAAAAATAAATTGGAGAGTGGTATAATTTATAGCAAGACATAACATGTTCAGCAGTCCAGATATATCGGTTGGTCATAAGTCAACAATTAATACATTTTAAATCGTACACACAATATGTTTTGTATGAGTAACAAAAAGTTGTTTCACTATTGGTATTTTGCTGTAGTATTCACATTGTCGTTCTGCCATTTGCCGTGTATGTATTTTGTATACTTACTCTGTAGACAGTTGTCTCCACTAAAACCATTCGCACACACACATGATGTGGACGGTTCTCCTGTACAGATTCCAGGGTAACAGAATTTACTGTCTGGCCGCCATGAGCATCTCTCTGAAATTTGAAGGGTGTTTGAATTATGGTTAGTTTACTGTAATTATAAGACACAACAGCGCCATCACTAAGATCGAAAATAAAATAAACGTACGAGCACCCAACTTAAAATGCACACTGATTCTATTGAAACGTGTTTTATTACACCCAGTTTCTTGATCAACATGAATAAACAGTTTTTAAATATTCCTTACTTTCACAAATTCTGTTCATAATCCCATTAAAATCTACTGGTTCGTAGGCTCTCCTTCCCTCACCACGATCATATTCACATTTCAAGCAGTACTGATTAATGTTTGTCGTACACTGTACGTCTTCACAGTTATCGATGGCTGCACAGGCTGAAACACGACATTTATTTAATTTTATTTTAATTAATTAATTAATTAATTAATTAGTTAATTAATTAATTAATTAATTTATTTATTTATTTATTTATTTA